CTAATAGGTAATGATCTTTTTTTTCATGCTTGCTAGATGCCCCAAACTTGTAAAAAACAAAAATTGCTAATGTAAACGAATCAATGTGTGTGGTGTGGGGCAGTAAATATATATATTGACATGATCTCCAAGTGATCTTAGCCATGAGTGTTCATGGCTTCCCAGACCATGCTCTTCGGGAGTGGATCCAACAAAAGATCATTTTTGAACGACAATAAATAAAATTTTCTTATCACACACAAATCAAAACGAGAAAATCCTTTTATTAACACAGTCTATTTTTTTTCTTTGGAACCAAAAAAAAAGAACTCAGTAAGACATTGGGATAATCTCATATTTGATTTGGGTTTTTTGGATTTGTTTTCAAACTCTCCTTATCTCTCAATTTCTATTTTAAAGGTATATTAGTATTTACATATCAATTTTTTGTTATAATTATCATAAATTTAAAAGAGTGGCTATAGTTCTATATGAAGTTCAAATTTTGATTATTTTTTCAAATTTCCCTATTATTTAGTTTATAAAATTTTACCTGCAAATTTATATCATTATTTAATTTCAAAAGTTAAAAAAGAAAAATACTTCTTTCACAAAAGTAAGAAAAAAGGTAGTGAACATGCATGAGTGCAGAGTGTAGGATTCGTTAATCTTTTCGCTGTCGATGAGGTCATGTTTTCTGTTCTTTTATCTCCAAAACCTAGAATATGCAGCGCACCTACTCCAGCACCAAACACGTTTGACAATTAAATATTATAATGTTATATTTTCTTTCGACCGAGGAAGAAATATTACCTCTTACTTTCTTTATCATATTTACGAATTAAATATATTAGAACTTAACTACGAGATAGTGATTCAGTTGTAAATAGAGGATTATGAAATTTTTTTAAAACTAAAAGCTGAAGGTCTCAAATTCGAAATCCGTTGCTGGAGTGAAAGTCAAACTTGTAGGCCTAAGGAAGCTGAAATGCCTCTATGAGTATTCCTGACTTCAAAAAAAGATGGATAGTCGTACTTTACCACCGGTTGTTCCTTTTTAAAAATAAAAAAAAATATTGGAACTTCACATTAATAATTGGATATTGCATAGATCATATCTTTTGAGAGAGGTGGCAATTTTGTACTAGACAAACAATGTTTATCTGTGACGTTTACAAACCATATGATTAAAGAGCTGTGGATCCCAGCTTGGCTGGTAATTAAAACATGAGTGCAACTTTGCAAGAGGTAATAAAGTTACACTTGTATGTGGTTCAAACGTCAGTATTATTATTTTAAGAAGTATACCATACATCTTAACAAGAGCGTAATTAGTGATGTGATCCTTCCTCTCCTAACCTTGTTGTTTTTCCTTCGTTGCTTTGGTTAATGCTAGGGGTGAGTGACGTTTGGTGAGGTATGCTCGTGGGAGGTTTGGTGGGTTTTGATCCGAAATATATCAAGGATTTGGAGTTACTTGTAAGTGTGTGTGTATATATATATTTATTTATGTACGTACAATTATTTTTTCAGATGGCTTATCTACTTGTCTTTTTATTTGGCCACCGTTCGGATTCTGAAGCAGCCCTGGCCAGTGATCAGGGCAAATCTTGGCAAGGATCAAAGTGGGCACGTGCCTCCTCAAGTTTTGGTCTTAAAAAATTGTCTGAGCAAGAATCAAAAGTCTGCTTAATTATATTCACCTCCCGCCGCTCAAATTGGACTACAATAAATAATAATCAATACACGACAGCAACTACTAAGGGCTGGTTTGGTATTGTTGTGCTTTGAAAAAAAGCTGCTGTGAGAATAAGCGGCTGTGAAATAAATCAGCAGAGTGTTTGGTAAACTTTTTTGTAAAAGGGTTTTTGGAAAAAAAAGCAGTCTAATAGTGGGTCTTTTCATTAAAGAAGCCCTGTAGCTCCGTGTGCTTTGAAAAAAAACCAATTTTCCAAAGCTGCAAATAACAGCTTCATCTTTTTCCTTTGATTTCAGCTTATTCTCACAGCAGCTTCCAAAATAAGCCTTTTTTTTCAGTTTACCAAACACCTAAAACCCTCACAGCTTTTTTTCATGGGTGTTTTTTTTTAAGCACCTCACTCCCAAACTAGGTCTAACTCTATCACTCGCTTCTCATTCAGGCAGATATGTATAACATAAAAATGTTTAGTTGTAGAGTTATTTATGACAGCTCACGAAGAAAAATTTCTTCCTTCTATACATCTAATGAATTTGACCTACTAACCCTATACCTATACAATTTATCTATTTTTCACCATAAAAATATTGATCTTAAAAATACAATTAAAATAACACAAAGGGTGACGATGAACACTAAGTACACAAATAGGTATATGGGCAGCTGGCCAAGTGCTCAACAAAATGCCTTACTTAAATTGAAAAAATATTGGCATTGTGTGTGCTCTTTTTGGAATTCCAAGAGGGTCTGTATCCACCATTGCTCAGTTGTGTCCCCATTAAATAACTTTCTATCTTTGCCCCTACCCCTAGTGGTAAACAAATACAAGCTACAACATCGTGCGTAAGAAATTCTTTGGGAAGAAACAAATAAGGAGACATATTTGTGTATATAAAATATTTGTCATATAATATTCAATGTGTTACTATGGTTGGACAACGTGACAGGGTTCTAGATACAACCGAATATTAAACAGATACACGTTCTATAATTGGAGTAAAATGATAATATCATTTTGCGGGAACTGCAAAATTCCCTTAAAATAAAGGGAGAGAGAAATAGACAACAAACAAAAGAGCAAGTAGAAGGGGTACATATGGATTAAATCGACGGTCTTGATTCCTTTTGCTGCTAATTAGGATTTATCATCATAAAATCATATGTTAGTGGGTAAGTGATTTATTGTCACCTCATATTAAAATTAAATTAAACAACCCTAAACTCTAAGGTACTATGTCCTACCTTTAACGCTCAGATAACAAATCATCTTGTGAAATCAAAATAGTAATATAATAAATCAAGTAGTTTTACAAAGTTGCACCATCCTAATATTATTATAAGCAAGCATCATTGATTGTAACGAAAGACCACATGCATCAATTGATCAGCTAATACATTAATAATCACACAACAAAAGCGTATCGATCTGCGAGATCTATCAATTAAAGAAAAGAGACTTTCATTGTTAACAAGGTCAACAGTTTTCGAACCCTATGCATAAAATAATATCCTGCATTTTATATAATAAGGTCATAGTCCATCTAGTACCCTTATATATAAGAAGTTTAGCTATATTTTATATTGTCAATTAATTTTATAATTAAATTTTAATTTTCTTTGTAATATTAAAGATATGTTTAGGCATGTGTGAAGTCGAATAGTTGCGTGCTTCGTTGTCCAAGTTTTAGACTTAAAATTTCTAATTAATTTTAGAGAACTTTAACGAAAAGTTTCCGCTACTATTTACTTTAACGAAAAACCACATTTTTACATTAAAAAGTTAATCCTACTACTATTCACTTTATTCTTTATTTTATCCTTATTGTTAAAACTTAAAGTTTTCAAACTCTTTTTATTAGTTTTTCTTTAATTTTATTGTGTAATTTCAATTTTTACTATATTAATTAAAAACAAATTACGATCATATAGTAAACAAGAATAATCAAGCACGTGATGTGTGTATTTGTATGCACACAAATCTCGGTAAACTAAAATACTTACATTACTTTACCAGATTGTCATAATTCAACTTTTCCTACATTCAAACAATAAAATGATTGCCATGACCTGAAATTCTAGTGGGTTGAAAAATAATTAAACCGCGCTTAAAAGTAGGGCACAACTATGTCTGGACTCGTGGGAGATTTACAAGTCTTAAGAGGTTGAGGTCAAATGAGGAAGAAACATACGAAAAGAAATGATTTACCAAATAATAACTAGCAAGCAACTGTAAATTAAGTATTTGATCCAAGTCATATGCAGACCAGCTGGTTGTCACATGGATGAAATGAAAGATATGGATTTGGATTCCAGATTCAAATTGTGAGAATAGTAGGAATCTTCGTATCTTAACTGTTTATCGTAAATCGTGCGGTTAGAAATTATTTTATTTAAAATTAAAAACAAATAGTATTTAACGAAAACTGACCGTATAATATACAATAAACAATCATAATGTGGAGATTCTAAGATAGAATCCGGATAAAATCCTCATCCGAAGGATATATATTACTAGGTTCTATCACGGAGACCACAAAATAATCCACGAATTACTTTTATCAATCGAAATAGTGGGAGAGTTTGAGCGTTATTGGGTGGTGGCAAACAACTAATTAATTACATGTAATTATCAATTAAAAATCAGCCAACAACCTTTGTGTTATTGTGGCAAATAACTAATTAATTACGTGTAATTTGTCTCACTTACTCAATTTATTGGTATGTGACAAACTATTCTCGTGTGATACGTAATCCCCCTTTCCCATCCACAAGTCACACTATCACATTTATTTGTACGTCGGTTGGAGGAGTTGGACCCAACAACGTTTGTCATGAATCATGACTCATGAATGCAGGGGTTTTCTTAGTCAAAATTCACGAACCATATCACTCCCATGTCAACATCATTAAGAGAAGGAGAATCCCTCAAATTAAAAGAAAAAGTTAACAATCTATAGGATGAGTTTTTTTTTTCTTTTAAAAACAATTGTGAATTTCATACTAAATAAGTTTTTGAATGTTAAAGAAAATTATTCTTAAGACATATTTTTAAGAAATGTTTTGTACAATGATGAATTTTTTTGAATGAGATACCAAACATGCTCTTAATTTTTTGAGAACTCTACCATCAATAATTCTAGAAAATTATGATTAAACTCTATCTACCATCAATTCTTTATTCAATAAATAAACACACCGAAACACATAGTGCTTTTATTCACGAGGAACACCAACCGTCATTTGCCACATAAGTAGTAGATGAGCACATTACATTCAAGATTACTTGGCTAGAAAAACACGAATAAGCCAACCCAACAAGGACAACAATAACATTAAATAATACTTAGGTAGTATTAATGAGCTCAATGCTAAACCCTCCGATGGTGATTGGCCCCTTCCCAACTTTTGGCACCAAAGTCACCACTAAACTGCTGTCTGTCTCCGCATCCAACTCCTCCAACAAGCTTGTAATGCTCAGCCGCAGGTTCGTCTTAATATTTTTCTTATGCTTATGCGGCACGTGAACAAAACTCCCAGCAAACTCCGACTTGTCTTTCCCGGCCAGTGAGTCCGCGTCATCGTTCACATACACGTCGAACTTCACAGTCTCATTCCCGGCAAACTCAATCCCCTTAATCACCAGCACCTCGTCCTGCGCCTTCTTCTGGGCAGTTGTCCGCTTCGTCGCAGATGGCCTCGTCACCTCGACGCTGATTGTATCCGACAGTGTAGCAGGGAACGTTGTAGTAAGATCAGAAGATGAAACTGCGGCCTTTCTCTTATTCGTCGACTTACGAGTTGTCGGCTTCGATTTCAGCCACGGGATCGGGACTTTCTCATCGTACACGTACCCGAGTTTTTTCGTGTCGAGCGAGTCACAAACCTTGACGCGCACAAGATTCTTTTTCTCGTCGTAGAACAAAAACTCCGTGTCCAACCAGTCAGTCTTTTCTATGTCCGTACCTCCCAACTTATCTTTATATATAGACCACATGCGGTCGACGTTGGAATGGTGGGAGTAAAACAGCGGATCCCTCCCCGAAGAGTAAAAGGCCCCCATGTCCTCCCCATTTGTCTGGGTTGGGTCGCCAGTCCAAAAGTGAATATTGTTATGGGGAATGCTCTCAATGTTTCCGGCACCAGGACTTGGGTCGTCCCCTGCGCTGTAGGGCTCTCCAAAAAAGAGTCTGTGAGAAGTGGCCTTTGACACCATCTGCTGGTACATTGTTGTTAAGTTCTCTTTGATTCGTGTTGCGTCGTCGACGTTATCGTCGGTCCCGCTGTAATTAAAGTCTAAGAGCTTCGGGGGCTGATGCGCTGCATTTCTATACTGGTCGTAGAGGGATGACGACGTATCAGTGAAAATCTCAGGAATGTACATTCCAGCTGGTGCGTCCCAGTTCCAGAAGGGGAGGGCGAAGGTTGGGTCCCCAATGAGCTCCCCCATGATTTTCTCGTAGAAGTAGAGGTACCAACGATGGAACGGGAAGAAGAGCCAACAGTAGTGAACTTGGATCTCCAAATCCGAGTATCCGACTTGTGGGTATCCACCATCGCAGTAAGAGCAGTGGACTTTGGCCTGTTGGGCGAAACTGCGCGGGTCGTCGTCTGGAAGTGCCCGCATCAGCTCGATGGCCTTTTTGTATTTGGCCAAGTATGCAGGGTTTTTTGCAACGTCCTGGGCAGCGAGCCTAGTGCGGAGTGGGCCTCGGTCAGGGAGTTTGAAGTCGATGATGGTCGTCGTGGTGGGTGGGCAACAATCGATGGTGGACCCGTCTGGCTTGTCGGCAGGACCACACGTGGTCAGATCTGGGGCGGATACCGGTGCTGCAAAAGCAAATGGGTTTCCTGCTGCACCGTAGAGACCCCCAGCGCCTAAACCTATCAGCATGTTCCTCCTGTCGAGTCTTGCTAGGCCCTGGTCTAGGTTTTCATTGTCACCTTTTGTTGCTTTACAGCGCACTCTGCCTGCAAGGCATTGTTTGGGTTTTCGTTGCAATGAAGTCTGGTACTTGTTTGGGAATAAAGGAGAGCGGAAGGGGGTGGTTGTGGTGGAGTGCACGGCGGCCATTGTAGAAGTTGATGGTAAAGGAGATGAAGCCATGGCTGAATTAGTTTTCCTTTCCACTCTGCAATTCAGAAGGAAAGGGGAGTATGATGTTTTTATAGTGGAAACCAGAGGGACCGCACACTAAAAATGTGTATGCATAATTAATATTGGAGCACCTACTCCATTACCACTCATTGAGTACGCATAAAAATGAATGAGAGAGAGAGAGAGAGAGAGAGAGAGAGAGAGAGAGAGAGAGATAATTCCAAGAAATATGATGCTTGAATAATTGGGTGGGAGAAACACGTTTAACAATTAAATATTATAATGTTATATTTTTTTTTGACCAAGGAAAAAAACCTACATGACCCTAGATTCTTTTGATGAGAATTCTGAATCGTAAATCATTTTCGTTCATCGTATATCGTGCGGTCAGTTTTTGTCAGGTACTATTTGTATTTAAAATAATTTATGATTATATGATATACAATGAACGAATATAATTCACAGTTCTTTAAAATCCTCATAAAAAGGATTCAACGTCCGAATTCGGAAAAAAATATTACCTCTTATTTTCTTTATCACATTTACGAAATGAATATATTGGAACTTCATGTTAATAATTGGATATTACATAAATCATATCTCTTGCGAAAGGTGACAATTTTGTACTGGAGAAACGATGTTTATGTGTCACATCTACAAACCATACGTTTAAAGTTGTGGACCCCAGCTTGGCTGCTAATTAAAACATGAGTGCAACTTTGTTCATCTCTAAAATGGGGTGATGTTCACTCTTACTTACCGTTAAATTAGTTTAGTTTAATTGATTTAAAATATGAATTTTAAAATTTAAACTAATTTAACAATAATTAATAAGGTTGAGCTTCACTCTTACTTTAAAATAGGAGACTGAGCATCACCCTCACTTAGGTAAGAAACTTGCACTTGTATGTGGTTCAAATGTCGGTATTATTATTTTAAGAAGTCTACCCTACATCTTAACAAGAGCGTGATTAGTGATGTGATCCTTCCTCTCCTAACCTTGTTGTTTTTCCTTCGTTGCTTTGGTTAATGCTAGGGGTGAGCGACGTTTGGTGAGGTATGCTCGTGGGACGTTTGGTGAGTTTTGATCCGAAATATATCAAGGATTTGGAGTTACTTGTGTGCTATGTGTGTGTATGTATATATTTATTTATTTATGTACGTACAATTATTTTTTCAGATGGCTTATCTACTTGTATTTTTATTGAAGGCAGATTCTCTGCCCTTTCATTTTCTATATTCTTCTGTTTTGTATAGTTACGGTTAAGTAACGTCATTATTTTATATTATTTTTTATATATATAATAAGATAAAAATAAATAATAATATAAAATATTAACGTGACTTAACTGTGATCATATAAACAAAAAGGCACAGAATGACACAAGAAATGAGAGGGCAGAGAATCTGCCTTCTTTTTTTATTTGGCCATCGATCTGAAGCGGCCCTGCCAGTGATGAGGGTCAAATCTTGGCAAGGATCAAAGTGGGCACGTGCCTCCTCAAGTTTTGGTCTAAAAAAATTGGTCTGAGCAGGAATCAAAATATTGATCTTAAATATATAATTAAAATAACACGAAATATTGGCAGCTGGTCAAGTGCTCAATAAAATGTCTTATTTAAATTGAAAAAAAAAGAAGGAATTTTAATAAAATACTCTTGATACTATTTACTTTTAATGAAAAATCACATTTTTATCTTTAACTGTTACTATTTATTATACCATTAAAAATGATTTTTCGTTAAAAGATAATTTTTTTTTACTTTTCGTTAATTTTCCTAAAAATAAAATTGACATTGCGTGTGCTTTTTAGGAATTCGAAGAGAGTATGCATCCGCCATTGATAATCATCAACTTTATAATGTTTAATAACGGCTCACGCTTTTTTCTCCTAGTTGTGGTGCCCTTCCATGCCCTCTTATTTTTTACGGTCACGGTTAAGCTACGTCAACATTTTATATTAATTTTTTAATAAAGATAATAAGACAAAAAACAATAAAAATATAAAATATTAACGTAACTTTATCGTGACAGTACAAATAAAAAGGCATGGAAGGACACCACAACCAGGAGGGCAGTCAATCTGCCTCCATTGGTAATACCATTTCATGGGAACAGCAAAATTCCCTTCCAAAAAAGGGAGAGAGAAATAGACAACAAACAAAATAGCAAGCAGAGGGGTACATATGGATTAAGTCGACGGTCTACATTCCTTTTGCTGCTGTTAGGATTTATCATCCTAAAACCATATGTTAGTGGGTGAGTGATTTATTATCACCTCATATTAAAATTAAATTAAACAATCCTAAACTCTAAGGTACTATGTCTTGCCTCTAACGCTCTGGATAACAAATCATCGTGTGAAATCAAAATAATAATATAATAAATCAAGTAGTATTACAAAGTTGTGCCAGCCTAATATTATTTTAAACAAGCATCATTGATTGTAACGAAGGACCACATGCATCAATTGATCAGCTAATACGTTAATAATCACACAACAAAAGTGTATCAATCTGCGAGATCCATCAATTAAGGAAAAGAGACTTTCATTGTTAACAAGGTCAACAGTTTTCGAACCTTATGCATAAAATATATGCCCTGCATTTTATATAAAAGGTCATAGTCCATCGAGTATCCTTTTACTTTTGTTTAACCTATCCTAAATACATACAGTAATATGATGCTAGGAGAGAATCTTAACGGGAAAAAAATATTGTATGCGCTTCTATATAAAAAGTTCAGCTACATTTTATATTGTGAATTAATTTTATGGTTAAATTTTAATTTTCTTCTTGATATTAAAGATATTTTTAGGCATGTGTGAACCTGAATAGTTGCGTGCTTCGTTGTCCAAGTTTAGACTTAAAATTCCCAATTAATTTTATTGTGTAATTTCAATTTTTACTATATTAATTAAAAACAAATTACGATCATATAGTAAACTGAAATAATCAAACACGTGATGTGTGGTTGTAACTTTGTATGCACACATATCTCGGAAAACTATAATATTTATATTACTTTACCAGATTGTCATATTTCAACTTTTCCTACATTCAAACAATAAAATAATGGAAACTTTAACGAAAAGCTCCCGGTACTGTTCATTTTAACGAAAAACCACATTTTTACATTAAAAAGTCAATCCTGGTACTATTCACTTTACCCTTTATTTTGTCCTTATCATTAAAATTCAAAGTTTTCAAGCCATTTTCATTAGTTTTCCTTAAAATAATTGCCATGACCTGAAATTCTAATGGGTTGAAAAATAATTTAACCGCGCTTAAAAGTAGGGCACAACTATGTCGGGACTCGTGGGAGATTTACAAGTTTAAGAGGTTGAGGTCAAATGAGGAAGAATCATACGAAAAGAAATTATTTGCCAAATAATAACTAGCTAGGAACTGTAAATTAAGTATTTGGTCCAAGTCATATGCAGACCAGCTGGTTCTCACGTGGATGAAAGATATGGATTTGGATTCCATCGCATTCAAAGTGTGGGAATTTTAGAAATTCTCACATCTTAACTATTTATTGTATATCGTGCAATTATAAATTATTTTGTTTAAAATTAAACACAAATAAGATCTAACGAAAACTAATTGTATGATGTATAATGAACGATCACAATGTAAGAATTTTAAGATTTCTCATAAAAAATAAATAAATAAAAAGATTCTTATCCGAAGGATATATATTACTAGGTACTGTCACGGGGACCACAAAACAATCCACGAATTACTTTTATCAATCGAAATAGTGGGAGAGTATGAGTGTTATCGGGTGGTGGCAAACAACTAATTAATTACATGTAATTATCAATTAAAAATCAGCCAACAAACTTTGTGTTATTGTGGCAAATAACTAATTAATTAAATGTAATTTATCTTACTCACTCAATTAATTGGTATGTGACAAACTATTCTCATCCACAAGTCCCACCATCACTTTTATTTGTCTGTCGGTTGGTGGAGTTGGACCCGGCAACGTTTGCTGGGGTTTTCTTAGTCAAAGATTCCATACCACTCCGATGTCAACAATCATTAAGACAAGGGCAACCACTCCGATGTCAAATCATTCAGCGAAGGGCAACCACTCCGATGTCAACATCACTCCGAACATCATTAAGAGAAGGGCAACCACTCCGATGTTAACATCATTAAGGGATGCCGACTCCGATGTCAACCTGAATAAGAGCAACTCCAGCCTTGCTGGTTGCTCGGGCGTCAGGCGAGGAGAAAGGGCCCTCGGGCCGGTGGGAGCAAATCCAGCGGGGAAGGGCCCGAGTGAGGGTGGGAGGTCGAGCGAAGGGGGGGTGGGGAGTCGACGGGCCTGTGGCCCGAGGGTTTTGTATTTTTTTATTTTTTTTGTGTTAGAGAGAGAGAGATAGCTTTTGTAATTTTTTTATTATTTAAACAAACATAAAAAACTATTATTTTTATTGCTTATTGCCAGGGGAGGGTTCTAAGGGTGGAGATGTAAATGGCAATTACTGTTCATTAATGGTAATTACTATTCATTTAAGGCAGTTATTGTTCAATAGGGTGGATTGAATAGTGGATTGCCAGGGGACAGGGCTCCATGGGTGGAGTTGCTCTAAGAGAAGGAGAATCCCTAAAATAGGGGGGGGGGGGGGGGGTGGTTTTCCAGAACTGTCCCTGGTCTCGGCCAATGGGACAGCGCATGTGCTTGCGTCGGTTGATTTTTCAGAGATGAATGAATCTGTTTGAGTCGATCAGCCCTGTTTTTGTTGATTTATGTTTTGAACAATGATGATCTTCCGTGTCCGTATTAATTTAGCTGTGATGATGTTTGGGGTGATGCTTTCACTTGGTGCAAGTGTCTTGACCCTTGAGGTTGCATTCCCTTTCACAGCTTTTGTCCTGGTCTGTCTTTCTTGGTGTTTGCCTCTTTGTAGGCTTTCCTGTAGCTTCTTGGCTTCTTAGCCTGGAATGAATTTCCTTGTTCTTCAACAAAAAAAAAAAAAAAAAGTTAGCAAAAGAAGAAAAAGTTTGGCTTCCCATACGAGCTACATCAAATGGTGAAACGCATCTTCCAGGACAACCTAAAATCACAACAGTTTCTTAACTTTTTGATGTGGATCAACCCTTTACATA